ATAAAACACTTATTGTGCATGTTAGAGATGGACAATGAATAAGGAAGGCAGGAGAAAAAAAAATTTGGTTTTGAGCAGTAGTGTTGGAGAAGAGTACTGAATATTCCAAGAATTGCCAAAAGAACAGATATGTCTTGGACAAAATGGATCCAAAGTGCCCCATGGAGGCAAAGATGACAAAGTCTTGTCTCACATACCTTCAGGATGTTGTCAGGCAAGGCAATTCCTTGGAGAGGGATATCATAGTTGGAAAGATGGATGGTTGACAAAAGAGAGGAAGACTCAACCAGAAGGATTGACAACTTGCTACAACTTGGGCTCAAGTATATCAGGATGATGAGGGTGGCACAGGATAGGACAGAGTTCAGATCAGTTGTCACAGGGTCACTATGAGTCATACTCATCTTGATGGGACTAAATAACAACAAACTAAGGTGACTGGTACAGCCAAATTTCCAATTTTATTCAAGTACTGACTAGAAGAGATCTATATTTGTTCCCATTCCAAAGAAAGGTGATCCGAAAGAGTGTGGAAATTATTGAACAGTGTCATTGATATCACATGCAACCAAGATTCTGCTGAAGATTATGCAAAAATTACTGGAATAGCACATCATCAGAGAACTACCTGACGTGCAGGATGGATATATAAAAAGGCTGTGGCACTAGGGATATTATAACTAATGTCAGATGGATCTTGACTGAAAGCAGAGACTACCAGAGAAATGTCTGTGTTTCACTGATTGTGCAAAGGCTTTTTACTGTATGGATCACAACAAACTGTGACTGACTCTGAGAAGAATTGGAATTCCAGAACACTTGATTGTGCTTATGAAAAGCCTATACTTGGACTAGGAGGCAGTCATCAGAACAGAGCAAGGAAACACTGCATGGTTCAATATTGGGAAAGATGTGCATCAAGTATGTGTCCTCTCTCCATATATTTTCAATCTACATGCGGAAGAGATTATCTGGGAGACTGGGTTCTATGAGAAGAAGTGTGGTTTCAGGATTGGAGGTAGACTCATCAACAGTCTGCATTATACAGATGACACAACCCTGCTTGCTGAAACTGAGGAGGACTTGAAGTGCTTGCTGCAGGTCAAGGACTTCACCCTTCACTATGGATTGGGGCTCAACATCAAGAAAACAAAGATTCTCACCACTGGGCCAGTTAGCAGCATCATGATAGATGGTGAAGAGATTGATATTGTTTTCAGCTTCAGTTTGCTTGACTCTACAATCAACATTCTTGGTACCAGTAGCCAGGAAATGAAAAGATGAATTGCATTGGGAAAGTCTGTTGTTAGCAACCTCTCCAAGGTACTGAAGAGCAATGATATCAGTCTGGATACTAAGGTGCTCCTGATACAGGCCGTGGTCTTTGTAATTACTTGCTATGCATGGAGAGCTGGGCAATGACTAGAGATGATAGAAGGAGCTTCTTTGAGCTGTGGTGCTGAAGAAGAGTACTGAATATACCATGGACTGCTAGGAGATCAAACACGTTTGTCCTGGGGAGGGTGAAGCCAGGCTGTTCCTTGGAGGCAAGGATTCTGAAGCTTCGTCTGATATACTTTGGACATGTTGCAAGGTGGGATCAGTTCTTGGAGAGTGAGGTCATGCTTGGGAGGGTGGAGGGA